GATTGTTATGGTAAAAATGAATAAAAGAAGTAAAAGCTTAAAAATAGAATTAGGTATTAACCAAATCTCAATATATAAAGTCCATTGATATTGATATTACATCAAATTGTGATATGAAGGGGTGATTAACAAAGGTAACGACAAGCACATATAAAACCATGAGAGTCACGAAGGCATATTCCATCAGCTTTGGGTCTTGAACTATTGTGTTTGTTATAATCCGAATAAATTAGACCTTAATTATTGATCCTTGCTCATTATTACTTGTTTGTAGACCTAGAACAAGCGGAAAGAATCCGGAAAAGGATGAATAAGTGTCTTAGGGGGATTTAAACTTGGATTCGAGTTGGGTGATACTTTGATTTCATTTTTGTGTGATGTGTGTGGGTATTTGCTTCCTTGTTATGCATGTGTGTATGTGAATGTAGCACTATTGATCAAACCTAATGTAAATGAGTATGAACGAATGATTGTATATCATGAATCAACACTTGATTGTTGATTTTTAGAATGTGCATTGTGATTGTAATTGTGGTATGATGATTGGACAGAGTGTCACGTTTCGACACACTAATTCGAATCGGATGTCACCTACTGACATACAAATTGGGGTTGTAGGTTACATACCGACATACATATTGGATCAGGTATCACATTTCGACACGCTAATTGAGATGGGATGTCACATTTAGGCACACTAACAGTTTATGTATGGGTTCCGTGAGAGGACCATTGAATTGTCATATTTACTTGTTAGTGAGGATGTGGAATTGTAAGTCGTTCTTGAAATGATAATGGGTATATGTGTATATATATTTTGTGCATGTCATGTTTACTATGTTGTAGCTGCTTATGTATGTTTAGCTTACTAAAATAGTCGTGTGATTCTACTAGTACACTTTAGTTGTAAACTGATATTGCACTTGCTCTTTCTTTGTTGAGTACAAGGCATCTTCAGGAGGCTAATGACAGACCTCAATTAGGAGATCATTAATCGAAATCGAATTCAAGGGTGAGCCAGTTCTTCCAGGCTGTTATGAGTTTTCCTTTTGTTTAGTCCATTTTCTTTAGACTTAGACTAATACTTTATATATTCTTTTGCTTAGTTTCGAAATTGTACCCCTTTTTCTTAGACTTATTGAACTTTGACTTTCAGTAACTAGGCATTATTTCTGCAATTATTTTATTAAACTTTTGGAGTTTATTAAGCAAACTCTAGTTTATTTATGCATTTAAACCTGCTTTTGTATTCTTAAATGTTCTTTAGGTGTATTGTTTCTTTGATTGTTATGGTAAAAATTATGAATAAAAGAGGCAAAAGTTAGATGATAGAATTAGGTATTAACTAAATCTCAAAATATAAAGTCCATTGAGATTGATATTACATCCAATTGGATAGCTAAAATTGCATTTAGCAATAATTAAAGTTAATTAAGATATGAAGGGGTGATTAGCAAGGGTAACGACAAGCACATATAAAACCTTGAGAGTAAGCAATGCATGTTGCATTAGCTTTGGATCCAAGCTTTCTCTTGCATAATGATACACATTTTGGCGTAGCTTTATATCCATCGCACGGTATTTCAGGATGTGCCTCATAGCAATCGTATTGGTTAGCATTTGTTTCAACTACAACAATATATAACGAGTATAGAATTTTAGACAATTTCATAACGAGTATAGAATTTTAGACAAGAGGAATTGCTTAGATGATAAGCACCTCTCGCGATAAAACAGGAAAAGAGAAAAAGTATTGAATGTTAGATGAAAAATTAAGTTTACCTTCATGGGAACAAAAAAATAGAGTAACAATGACAAGGACAAAAATCAAAAGCTTTGCCATTATTCTTCTAGAGATATAATCAAAATGTAGTCTTGATAGTATTTTGTAATTTAATTTTTTCACTTTGAATAGTCAAGTTTATAACCAAGAGTATCTTTTTATAGCTTCATAAAATAAAATATGGATAGGGTTTATCTTCATTTTTCTTCATTTTTCTTGCGTTTCTATTTGAATTAATGACATATGACATAAATTTAATTTAATTTTATGGCTAAGATTCAATTAAAACTACAATAAAATTTTATCCCAAAACATTTTTAAAATCCCACAATTATTATTTTATAAATTTATATTTTAAATTATTATTTGTTTGCCTTGAGTAAATTTTATAAATATATGAATGCAAGTAACTATACGTCTATTCACTTTGTTTTATTTACTTATTATTATTATGGAAAATTGTATAGCAAACACTTAAACGATACTAAATGTTATAGCTAATGTTTTAAAAAATTGTGATTCATATAGTCATAGTTTTCTTAAATATTGTTATTCGGTTAATTTATATAATTCACCCAATATTGTATAACTCGGTGTATAAATTAGAATTTTGTTTATTATTCCTAAAATTTACTCTACTTATTATAATATAATTAAATTAACTCTCCTACGATATAATTTCAACAAGTACTAATAGAATTGTTTTACGCAACTTTATGATTTTTATGATAGAAATTTATTTCTATTTTATATAAAAGTCTCTTTGCAAAAACAATCAGATTTAAGTCATTTTTAGTAAGGTCTTAGGGGTCTAAATTGATTAGGTTCAATTTTATAATTATAATCTATGCTTAGGACTTTAGTTGAGAGTTTAAGAAGAGAAAAAGAGGAAAAGATATTCAAAGCATTCATCGAGATTCTTGAGTTTCGTTGCGGATTTCCTCGGGTGTTTGATCCCTAAAAGATATGTAAGTTGTCATAGTATTGGGGTTAGTTCACCCACACGTCAATCATGAGTTTCTTTAACGAATTTCATTCATAAGTTGGGATATATTGAGTTCTTGAAAAATATTATTGAAGTTTAATTTTATTCTAAATCTTATTTTGTTGGGGTTTTGATGAATTCTTGAGATGAATGTGAGTGTTTTGAAGATCGTATTGAGTAGAATAATTAGTGTGTATTTATGTAGATTAATCAAATCCTTATATTTAATGCTCTCTAATTAAATTAATTCATTTAACCATAGCCAACATTGCATTTAGCAATAATTAATGTTTATTAAGATATAAAGGGGTGATTAGCAAGGGTAATAACAAGCACATATAAGACCAGGAGAGCCAGTAATGCATCTTCCATCAGCTCTTGCTCCAAACATCTTCCTACAAAATGTTAAACATTTTGGCTCAACTTTTTCTCCATCGCACGATATTTCAGGATATATCTGATAGCAATCGTATTCGTTAGAACTTGCTCCAATTACATTAAACAAACAAGAAGAGTCAAAAATGTGTATTGATATGATTAGGTGAGTATTATAACAATATATAACAAAGTTCCTCAGATAGTAAATACTCATCGCGATTAAAAAAAAAAATTGAAGGTTGGATGTAAAACAAAGTTAAGCTTCTTAAGTACCAAAAAATAGAGTAACAATGAGAAGGACACCAATCAAAAGCTTTGTCATTATTCTTCTAGAGATATACTCAAAATGTAGTCTTAGATAGTATTTTGTGCTTTAATTATTTTACTTTGAATAGCCAAGTTGACCAAGAGTATCCTTTTATAATTTTTAAATATTAAATATAGATCTAGCTTCTCTCCATTTTTCTTCCGTTACTATTTGAATTGATGACATATGGACAAAAAAAATTTAATTTAATGGCTCAATTAATTAAAATAAAATCCTAATCATGGTCTGAATAATTAATTACTTCCATATGTTTCATCCCATAAGATATTTACAAACCCACAATTATATTTTTTTCTGAATTTATATATTAAATTACTATTTTTTACCTTGAGTAATTTTTGTAAATATATGAATGGACCTATGGAAGTAACTACACATCTATTCACTTTGTTTTATTTACTCATTATAATATAATAATTAAATTAACTCTCCTACAATATAAATTCAACAACTTATTAGTGATATAATTATTTTATGTAATTTTACTATTTCTATGAATATAAATTTGTTTATATATTTTTATACACGTAAGAAAGAATAGCAATCTTAAAAGGTAAACAATATTTTCTACTGTACAATATTAGTTGCATTTCGACGTTTAGACGAATTAAAATGATTTGAATTTAAATGAATTCGATTACATCCCCCACACATATTTAGACTATATTATATTAATATAAGACAAAACAAATAATCTAATTTAGACTACATATTAATATGAGACAAAATAGACTAGTCAATTTAGACTACATACTAATATGAGACAAAATAGACTAGTCAATTTAGACCAAGTAATGGATCATATAACTCATCATATCAAACTCAAAGGCTCATTTGATTATTTGTTTCTTCATTAGATTATACTTTATTTAATCACCAAAATTGTGATTTTTATTTATTTATCAAGAGTATTTCCAGAAAAAACAAATAGCAATACTGATTTTAGTTGTATTTATACGTCCAAATATTAAATTTATTCATGTCTTAGCTAAATTTTGAGAAGCAATTATCATATAATTATGTGTTTTGAATATAATTGATGTGACTACTAATATATGTGATTCGACATGTTTCACGTCATGTAATTTTACTGAACATGTTGTTGTTTCTTCGACAAATAAAATTTTCGAATCATAACAACCGAAGATAAGAAAAATGAATAAAAGAAAGCAAAAACTATATTGAAAGACTTAATCATTAATCAAAATATAAAGTTCATTGAGATTGATATATCACATCAAATTGGATAGCCAAAATTACATGAAGCAATAATTATTTAAATTTTATTGAGATACAAATTTTATTCATGTCTTAGCTAAATTCTGAGAAGCAATGATCATATATTTATGTGTTTTGAATATAATTGATGTGACTACTAATATATGTGATTAGACATGTTTCACGTTATGGATTTCACTGAATATGTTGTTATTGTTTCTTCAACAAATAAAATTTTCAAATCATAACAATCGAAGATAAGAAAAATGAATAAAAGAAAGAAGCAAAAACTATATTGAAAGACTTAATCATTAATCAAAATATAAAGTTCATTGAGATTGATATATCACATCAAATTGGATAGCCAAAATTACATGAAGCAATAATTATATAAATTTTATTAAGATATAAATTGTTGACTAGCAAGGGTAGTTACAAGCACAAAAAGGACCCTGAAATCCAATCTGATCAATGCATTGGCCACCAGCATTGGGTCCAAACTTTTGTTTGCAAAATGGTAAACATTTTGGCTCAACTTGTCCACCATCACACAATATTTCAGGATGTATCTGATAGCAAGTTTCTGATTCAACTGATGGGATTATTGTTCCAACTGCAAAGAGTCAACAAACACTATTAATACTATTAAAAAAGTACTATATACAATAATATATACTCATGTGATACTTATTCTTTTTCGAGTTTTAAATAGCTTAAATTTGACCAGGAATGATCAATATCTGGTCCTTTGTTGATTGTTTAGGGTAAAAAGAAAGATATATTTAAATAATATATGAAAAAAATTACGGTTAAAAAAAATTGATTTGAAGCCCAAATTATATGAAAGGTGATACGTAAACTGAGACGAATGTAGTAACACATAGTTGATTGTCAAGGGTAAAAAAGTACCAAAAAATAGAGCAACAATGAGAAGGATACAAGTCAAAAGCTTTGCCATTATTCTTTGATGGTATTTTTGTGCTTTAATATTTTCACTTTGAATAATCAAGTTAACCAAGAGGGTCTATTTATAGCTTGTAAAATACATGGAGTGGGACTTTGATCAAATCTTGTGATTAAATTTTGAAGACTTGAAATCAACAAGTTCATTATAAGAGAAAAAGAAATTATTATCTTATTCCCAAATATTGCTTAGATTTTTTTCTAATCAATATGAATTTGACCCACCTAATGTAACATACAATTACTCACACACTACTCTATTGATATTTGATATCTTAAGCCTTAAGTTGATTATAAGAGAATAAGAAATTATTATCTTAGTCCCAAATATTGTTTAGATTTTTTTCGAATTAATATGAGTTTGATCCACCAACTGTAAAATACAAATACTCACACACTAATTTATTGATATCTGTTGCACGTATATTTCAAAGTATTGGAATTTTACTCGCCACTCTC